ACGTTCCCCATATTGCTCATTCTTTTTTATGTATGGGCAAGATGCTCATTGCTGCTTTATTTAATATAACAAAAATAATGAAAACAACCTAAATATCTGTCAATAGAGGATTAATTTTAAAAATTTACAAATGATAATATAAACATCAACTTATTTTTTATTATTGTTATTTTTGTTTAATTTTATTTTGTGGAGAAATATCCATAATGCATTTGGTGAAAAAAAGCTCTCATTAATTTTTATGGTGTATTACTGCATGCTAGGCACTAGGTCTGCTCTGTCCAACAACACGTATCTCTAGAAGCACGTGTGGTTATTTATATTTAAATTAATTAAAATTAAATAAAAGTAAAAACTCAGTTCTTCAGTGGCACTGGCCACATTTCCCGTGCTCAGTAGCCATGGCTCAATTGCTCCATATTGGACAGTTCAGATTATAGAACATTCCCATCACCACTGAAAGTTCTGGACGGTGCCCTACTACGCCGTCCTGTTTCTGTTGTGCTTAAACTGGACACTGTAAGACGGTGGCAGCACGAGCCTTGGAATTCTCTCCATTTGTGCGGTAGGTACCAGACTTAACTTGTGTCTCAGACTCAGCTTAGGGTCTGCTCTGACCTCGAGATCCTTGTTAACTATGTTTTAAGGGGTCTGGGACTCTTCCCTTCTGGCACGGTATCGTTGCTCTTTTCCCACCAGCCTCGTGTCTGGCCTCTCCCTCCCTGTCTCCTCTCTCCCAGGTGATCCGCCAGCTAATGAAGAAGGAATTCACCCTGGAGTTCTCCCGAGACAGGAAGTCCATGTCTGTCTATTGCTCCCCCGCCAAATCCCGGGCTGCTGTGGGCAACAAGATGTTTGTCAAGGTCAGAAATCAGAATGTGCCTCGGCCCCCCTGTTCTTCCAAATCCTGAACCCCTCTCCTATCCCTGCCCCGTCTCACTGTGCCCTGGAAGACAGTAGTCTCTGAATGCTGTTCTGTTCTCCTAGGGTGCCCCTGAGGGGGTCCTCGAACGCTGTAACTATGTGCGAGTTGGTACCACCCGGTTGCCCATGACAGGGCCGGTGAAGGAAAGGATCTTGTTGGTGATCAAGGAGTGGGGCACTGGCCGGGACACTCTGCGCTGCCTGGCTCTGGCCACCCGGGACACCCCCCCAAAGCGAGAGGATATGATTCTGGATGACTCTGCCAGGTTCATGGAGTACGAGGTGAGCAGACGAAGCCTCGCATTGTCCCAGAGTCGTCCACCTCACCCCTCCACCACCCTTGTCATTGCCTACTTCATCATGGGTCTGAGAAGCACAGGACGTTAGAGTTTGAGAGAACCTTGGGAGTCATCTAGTCAGGGCGACTTTGCGTGTGATCTGCAGACCTGCCTGCGACGAGGTGCGGTGCTTATATACCAGAACAGAAATCAACTAGATCACTAAGCATACTCAGCTGACGTGTTTGCATAGTGACATCTTGACGCAAGACGCAGTGCACGACCTGCGTTCTGATACAAGCTCCTTATCTTGTAGTGGACTGGCTCTCTGAATGGCACCAAAGTCCACTCCCTTCATTTTACCGAGGGGACACTGTGGCCCGGCAGGTAACACAAATTTGCCCATAGTTGTAGACCAAGTGATGGCCCTGCTGAAAGCAGAAACCACTGCTCTAACTTCCAGCTCGAGTTCTTTCTGTGAAAGACACTACCTGCTACCCACAACGGGCCTGTCACCACCAGGCCTGCAGGTACACGTGTGAACAGGGAACATTTCCTGCCCCTGAGTGTACGAGGCCCTACTGAGGTTTGAACACCAGGCCGAGGATCAGCTCGCCCTCCAGCTCAGTGATCTTTCTCCCTGTCTCCCCCTGAGCTTCCTCCTTGGCTGATTTTCCATCTCTGCTCTGTCTCCCCAGACGGACCTGACCTTCGTTGGTGTGGTAGGCATGTTGGACCCACCCCGCAAGGAGGTCACAGGCTCTATCCAGCTGTGCCGTGATGCCGGAATCCGAGTGATCATGATCACTGGCGACAACAAGGGCACAGCCATTGCCATCTGCCGACGAATCGGCATCTTTGGGGAGAATGAGGAGGTGGCCGACCGGGCCTACACAGGCCGGGAGTTCGATGACCTGCCCCTGGCCGAGCAGCGGGAGGCCTGCCGCCGCGCCTGCTGCTTTGCCCGCGTGGAGCCCACCCATAAGTCCAAGATCGTGGAGTATCTGCAGTCCTTCGACGAGATCACGGCTATGGTGAGGACGCCAACAGGGCTGCCCAGGCCGGGGTCCATGTGGAGTCTGGTGTGAGGCAGTCTGTTTAGAGTCCACTGAGATGATCGTCTGGGAGAGCTGGGGGCTAGGGAGAAGGGTGCTGAGTGGGGGCCCCGGGGAGATGCACGGAAGGAGGGATTCAGGCCGTCATGGGAGAGTCTCAAGGAGGGGTGTGTGGAAGGGGCCGGGTCCCACCTTCTCTTTCTCCGCACAGACAGGTGATGGTGTCAATGATGCCCCTGCCCTGAAGAAGGCCGAAATCGGCATTGCCATGGGATCTGGCACTGCTGTGGCCAAGACTGCCTCCGAAATGGTGCTGGCCGATGACAACTTCTCCACCATTGTGGCTGCCGTGGAGGAGGGCCGAGCCATCTACAACAACATGAAGCAGTTCATCCGCTACCTGATTTCCTCCAACGTGGGCGAGGTGGTCTGGTAAGCAGCCAGGGCGGGCATCCAGGAGGAACCCAGGGCTGGGTGGGGCATGACCACAGGTCTGGGAGGCAGGACAGACATGTGGCCCCTCCTTCTGGCAGCATCTTCCTGACAGCTGCTTTGGGGCTGCCTGAGGCCCTGATCCCCGTGCAGCTGCTGTGGGTGAACTTGGTGACTGACGGGCTCCCGGCCACAGCCCTGGGCTTCAACCCACCAGACCTGGACATCATGGACCGGCCCCCCCGGAGCCCCAAGGAGCCCCTCATCAGTGGCTGGCTCTTCTTCCGCTACATGGCAATTGGGGGTGAGCAGGATGGGACCCCACAATCTTTCCCAACCCTTGGGACTGACCTTCTCTCTGGGACACCAGCTTCCCCAGTGCAGCCGCCCCGATGGGCCCTTTTCCTCAACCAGCTGTTCATGGCCGAGGCCTTCTTGACACTTCCCCTTTCCCCAGCCCTGACCCCCTGACTCCCATCTCTCTACCACAGGCTACGTGGGTGCAGCCACTGTGGGAGCGGCTGCCTGGTGGTTCATGTTTGCGGAAGACGGGCCTCAGGTCACCTACAGCCAGCTGGTAGGGGATGACGGAGGAGGGGAGGGGACAGGGAAGCAGGAGGGTGGCATGGGGGCTTGCTGCGGGATCTCAGTTCCTCTCCCCTCCCCCTGCAGACTCACTTCCTGAAGTGCAACGAACACAACCCCGATTTCGAGGGAGTAGACTGTGAGGTCTTTGAGGCCCCCGAGCCCATGACCATGGCCTTGTCTGTGCTGGTTACCATCGAGATGTGCAACGCTCTCAACAGGTGGGACCTACCTGCCCTCCCCCTGCTGCCTTCGTCCTCCACCCCTGCTCTCTGTCCTCACCACTCCTTTCCTCTTGTGTCTCCCACCCTGGGCTCCGCCTGGCCTCCCCCTTGCAGCCTGTCTGAGAACCAGTCCCTCGTGCGGATGCCGCCCTGGGTGAACATCTGGCTGGTGGGCTCCATCTGCCTCTCCATGTCCCTCCATTTCCTCATCCTCTACGTCGACCCTCTGCCGGTGAGCCTTCTTCCAGGCAGGGGCCACCTGTTCCCCATCCCACAGGGAGCCTGTGTAGGGTCCGTGACCACTAGGGCTAAAGGCACTGACAAAGGGAGGAAGGCGGGGTCAGTTTAGGGCAGCGCTGGGTCCTCTGGCTCCTCCCCGCCCCCTCCTGAGAGGGGCAGTGTCCGTCTCACTGTCTCCACCCCCCCTCTTCCCAGATGATCTTCAAGCTCCAGGCCCTGGACTTCGCCCATTGGTTCATGGTCCTCAAGATCTCGTTTCCAGTCATTTTGCTTGACGAAGTCCTCAAGTTCGTTGCTCGGAACTATCTGGAGGGTAAGACGCTCCCCTCCTCTGAGCCCTGTCAGGCCCTGGGCCGTGAGCACAGCCCCTACCTCTGCGCTGCGAAGGCGCCTGCCCCGCCTTCCTTTTCAGGTGGGTGTGTTCTTCCTGTCCCCTTGGCCCTTCCTCCTTACCCGAGGCCTCCAGGCCTGGTGCAGACACATTCTCCCGGGCGCCCCCACCACCTCCTCAGCCCTCTTGGCCCTCCATGCCTGCCTCCCTCCCTCGGTAACAGCTGTCTCTCTGTCCTCTCTGGCCATAGGATAACCCGTTCCCCTCCTCCATCTCTTTGAACCGTGTCACAGGTATCGCCCACTTTTCTTGCCCTCGCCCCAGCTGCTGTGCCCCCCTGCCCGCCCCCTTCCCCCTGGGTGGCACCTGAGGTCACTTGCGCTCGCAGCTCCACCTGGAGCCAATGCTGTCGCCTCCACTGCCAAGCTTCCAAGTGGGGGTGGGCTGCTGCCCTTACTCTGGGGGTCAGCACTGCCCCCACCTCTGGGCCCCACTGTCTGCTGGGCTGCGCTGCGTCGCGCTGGCTGGGCGCTGAGCTGTGTGACGCGGGGGCTGCAGTGGTTGGGAGGAGTGGGGTCTAGGGACACAGGTGAGTACGGGAGGACCCTCTAGGTGAGTGTGCTGGGGGATGGGGGACAGGGAGCCTGGGAGGGACTTTTCCTCTCCTCTCCTGCCCCGGCCACCTGCTTCATCCCTCCCCTTTGTGCTTCCAGATGCAGAAGATGAAAGAAGGAAGTAACCAGTCCTTCTGCCCCTTCTTCCCCACCCCGATAGCGACGCAGCTTCAGCCAGAGCTGCGGCACAGACCCCCACGTGCCTTTCCTCCCCCTGACGTTTTCTGTTTATAAACGCAATGTCCCCGTCACTTCTCCCCCCCAGCAGCCCTCCCCTTGTCAACCCCCCCCCGTGGGGCAGGGACGAGGCGAGCGGCTGAGCTCAGCTGCTTATTTATTGAAAATAAATGACAGAACAGTCTGGCCCGGCCTCCGCGCACATCTCGGGGACAAGCATCTTAGTGTCATGCGCTTCAGAAAGCAGCTGCCTGTCCCAGGTGCGCGTGTGGAGGGCCCGCTGACAGACACAGACCCGAGGCTCCACCCCCACTCTCAGCTCGGCTGTGCCTCGGGGGGCTGTGCCTCGGGGGGCTGGACGGACCGGTCCTAACAGGCGTGGCTGTTAGTCTGGCTGGGGAGGCGGCGGGAGGGTTGGGACTCAGAGGCAGCATGGCAGCCAGACAGCTGCAGGGCTGAGCCTGCACCTTTGGCTCCAGAAGGGGATTGGGACCCTCACCCAGGTGTCATCCTTGGGAGCAGAAGGCCCAGCCACCCCTGGGAGGAGGCACTGGAGCGACAGGGCAGAGGTGGCCCTGTCACCTCCACCCAGGCTTGGAGAGGGTAAAGACTCCATTCTGAAACCCCCCAAGCCCAGGCCTCACAGTCCGGGAGTGGAGAAAGGCAGTCTCCCCAGGGCGGGCGGTTCTGCCCTCAGGTGTCCTGGATGTCCCTGACGTCCCTGAGGGGCGCCTCGTCCATGATGCTACGCACTTGCTCCAGACTCTCTGCCTGGCGGATCCGCTCCAGGCGCACCTGTGGGGTCCGGTGAGGGAAGCAGAGGGCCCTTGGTGGGGAAATGAGGCCCCCACCCCACCTGCCAACCCCTGAGGGGCAAGGGCCCAGGACCAGTGTACCCAGTGGCCCCAGCTCCCCCAACCCACAGCGAAACTGGGTTCATGGGAAGAAATGGGTCCTGAGAGAGCAGCCTGAGGAAGTGTGGGCCAGGGGCAGGTGGGGCTGACGTAATGAGCACGCTGCACGTCTGTGGGCCAGGCCCCGGGCAACAGTCTTCACGTGTCCGTCAAAGATGGACACACAAGATCTTCAACTTGTTTTGAGCAATAGCTCAGAGGAAAGGATCATGCCGGCCCCAGAAGGAGGAAGAGGACTCCCCTGATTGGGGCACTGTCCTTGCGAGACCTAGGACAAGTCACCGAGTCATGCCAGCCTGGTGGGGAGGGGACATGCAGTACCTGCAGGGCCTGGGACAGTCGTACGAAGTCCCTCTGCACCTGTTCACTGGTCTCCAGCTCCGCCTGCAGCCGCAGCACCTTCGCCCTCTGTTCTGAGAGGAGGTCTGTGAGCTGGGCCTGTGGGATGGGGTGCAGAGCTGGGGCCTTGGGCCAGATGGGAGGGTATGTGGCCAGAGAAACAGGATGTCTGGACCGGGGAGCCCCTGCCACACCACCCCTGACTCTGACCTCTTCTGTGAGGCCTGAGCCTGGTGGCTGCCACAGGGCTTCCTGCTGCCTGGCCTGAGGGAGACCAAGGCCAGCAGGGGCCAGATAGTGTCTTCTCCACACTGCCGCCCCCTCCCCTGTCATCCCAGCCTGGCTCCTGAGTTCTGCCTCACCTTGCTCTGTTCCTGCTGGATCCGCTCCATCTCCGTCCTCAGGCTGCACAGGGAGGCTGGGAAGTCAGGCGGGGCAAGCCGTCAGGCCCACACCCTCTCTCCTTCCCCACCTGCCCTGACCAGCCGGGCTCCAGCCCCTACTCACCCTCTAACACCTCTGTGTGGAAAGCAAAGAAAGAGAGGTCAGGCTCGTTGGCGCACTGGCACCCAGGCGGTGCCCTGTGAGGAGGTCAGCCTCCCTGGGAGCGGGGGCAGGGTGGCTCGTCTCCTCTTCCCTCACCTGTCTCCTCCCGCTGCACCCTCAGCTGCCCCTCCAGGCTGGCCCTCGCCGCCGTCTCCTCCTCCAGGGCCTCCCGCAGCGTCACGATCTCAATCCGCAGGCGCTCAGCCTCGTGCTCCTGGGCCTGCTGATGGGCCCGTGCCTCCTGCCGCGTGCGGCACACCAGCTGCTGCAGCTCCTGGAACGGATGCAAGTCACCTGCTGGGCATGGGCAGGAGGAGTGGAGGCCACAGGGGCCACCTGCTCGATGGGGATTGTGGGGAGGGGAAAGGAAGGGAGGAAGAAGGAAACTTAAAAGGGAAACAACCCAAATGCCCATCACGGGAGAGTGGACAAAGACACTGGGACGGCAGTGAACATTCCACAGCAGCCACACCCCTCAGGCATGGTGGAGGACCCTCAGGAACGGTGCTGAGTGAAAAGTGCCAGGAGATGACCTAGAGCAAGACACCCTTTTATAAAGCTCAAAACCAACTCAAGTTAGCACTCCCTTGTCTAGGCAGACATGTATATGTAATAAGAACAATCCGCAAAAAGAACAAGGGAATGATAAAGCTCGCGAGAGCAGAAACAGAGCCTAGCAATACGGGGGTGCACATAAGGAGATATCAGTTGTAGTTCTCAGGGCGAGCAAAGGTTCCGGGTGATCTTCCTATTTTTAATAAATTCAATCAACCAAGGCCATGCACAGATCAATGATGACAGCTTGTTATGACCAAAGATTATGATGAATTCAATTCTGTGGATCTCACGTCACTTACAAATAACCAACAAACCCAATTACTGCTTCCTTCACGTCAAGCATTCTGTCAACTCATTTTCTCTTCGTGCCAATGCTGAGAAGGTGGTGCGGTCCCATTTTTCAGATGAGGAAACTGAGCCTTAGAGAAGTCAAGTGAGTTGGCCGAGGTGACGCAGCTAATACACAGCAGCCCGGGTCTGTCCTCGAGTCCCATGGTCCCACGTCAATGCGTTGCTGCGTACAGAAAGGAAGGGCCGACAGGGTGGCCCCCAGCGCCCACACCCCCCTTACCGGCACGGAGCTGGGCAGCGATTCCTCTTGGCCCTCATCCTGCTCCAGGCCCCAGGGGGCTGAAGACGGCGGCTGCTCGGCCCGGAGCCCTTGGTTTTCCTCAGTCAGCCGCTTTACCTCGTGGCTCAGGCACTTGTGGGAGGTAGCCAGCTCTGCCTGGGGATGGACAGTTAGTACAAGGCGATGAGGGGGAGAGTCTCCAGTGCCCTGTGAAGGCAATTCCTGAACCCTCTCCTGGCCATTGCTGATAGCCAGAAAGCCCACGCCCTCCTCCTCTCCTGAGAAAGGAAGAAACACCCTTTGTTAAGTGTCTTTGGCTCCCAAGCTCCTTATACACCCTCCCTGATGACTTGGAGATCACACAGTGGCAGCCACTGGCCGTGTTAAATATTTTTTTAAGCTTAAATTAAAAAAATTGCTAACCTGAAAAACTGGGAGACTACTATATACATGACTGCACAGATTCCTGGCTTCTCTTGACAAATCAGAACACCCAGCAGCATGGTGCCCGCGTTCCCACGTGGCTCTAGTCCGGGAGCTGAGGAGCAGCAGGCCCTTTGCACGCACTCCTGCTTGGCAATGCTGCCCCTTACTGGCTCACACCTGGCCCAGTTCAATCATTCACATCTCCCGTTTGGTCGCGGGAAGTATCTGACTTTGCAATCCCTGCTTTTAATCTTCACGACTCCGCAAGCTAGGTCCCATTATCTCCATTTCAAGGTGGCAAGGCTGAGGCTCTGAGCTGCGGGATCAGCTCAGGTTCACAGAGCGAGTGCATGGTGGGCTTGGTCTGAATGCAAAGCCTCTCCTCTGGCCACGGTGCCAGATGCCCTGGAAACCCTCTTATCCACCTGGCAGCAACTCCAGGGCGAAGCCCGAGCGGCTGGGGGGCAGGACAGGTGCCTCAACCTTCCACGTGCCCCCTCAACCAATTCCCCTCACACTCCTGCTCCGGCCCCCAACCTCACCATCTGCAGCTGAACCCGCTCCTGGGCCTGGCTCACGGTCCCCTGCAGGGTCCGCAGCAGCTGTTCTGAGTTCTGGACCTGGGCCAGCAGCACCTGCATCTGTGGGTGGAAGGAGGCGAGGGTGAGATGGGGGCCCAGGAGGAGGCGGGGGCCAGAGGCCCCGCTGGGCTGGAGCGGAGGCTGGACCCACCTGCTTGGCGCAGTCTTCGTTGCTCCGTCTCAGACCCTCCTGCAGCTCGTCCCGCTCCCGGCTGATGCTCTCCAGGTCCTTCTGCAGCTGCCGCCCCTGCCACAGACCCTGGCCTCAGCCTCGCCCTCCAAGGGGAGGCCTTCCCTCCTCACCACGCCTCTCATGCCTTGCCTTCTGCATCTCACTGGGTGGCGCCATCATCCACACAGTCACTCAAGCCAAAAGCCCAGGAACGGATGCTGACTCCTCTCTTCCCTCCACTCCCCACGACCAACCCACCAGCAGGCCCATTCCGCCTCCAAAGTGGATGCCAAACCCGCCCACTTCTCTCCACCTCTGCTGCCCTCTCCTGGTCCCAGTCACTACCTTCTTCTAAACTGTCACGCATCTCCCAACCAGCCACCCCACTTCTGTTGTCGCCTCCTCCCCCTACAGTCCATTCCTACAGAGGCCCAGTGATCTGCTAAAAGCCTAAAGCAGAGCAGGCTTTTCCTCAGCCTAAACCCTGCAGAGGCTTCCCACTGCTCCTTGTCTAAGATGCAAACACCACGGCAGGCCCCAGAGGCCAACCTCCTATGGACTCTGCCTTCTTTCTTTTTTAATAATTTTATTTATTTATTTATTTTTCCCCCCAAAGCCCCAGTAGATAGTTGTATGTCATAGCTGCACATCCTTCTAGTTGCTGTATGTGGGACGCGGCCTCAGCATGGCCGGAGAAGCGGTGCATCGCTGCGTGCCCGGGATCCAAACCCGGGCCGCCAGCGGTGGAGCGCGCGCACCTAACCGCTAAGCCACGGGGCCGGCCCTCTGCCTTCTTTCTGAGCGTATCTCTCCTCTCCTCCTCCGTGGCCTTCCTGTTCCTCAAACATACTATAGCCTGTCCATCCTCAGGGCCTTTGAACTTGCAGTTCCTTCTGCCCCCGATCTTCGAAGCGCACCTTTTTCACCGTCCAGGTCTTAGTCTCCTGCACTGCCGGTCTCCACCTCCTGACCCTATTCAGTTTGTTCTGGGCGTCTCACCCTGCGACACCGTCTTCCTCGTGTGCCCATGTGCGCGTCTGTGTCTGGCTCCCTCACTAGGAGGAAGCTCCCAGAGGGTGGAACCCCCAGCCCTAGCTCAGGGCCTGGACATAGCAGGTGTGCAGTGAGCATCTGCTGAAGGGAGAGACGGCGGCAAGCAGGCCACCCTGCCCACGCCACTCACCTCCATTTGCAGCTGCTCCCACTGGTTGTCTGGGACAAGCTGGTAACCAGGAGGGGGCAGGTAGATGCCCTCGGGGACCAGGGTGCCCGTGGACACCAGGGAGGCTGTCTCTTCCTGCTCAGGGCTCAGGCCCTGGCGGCTCCGGGGCAAGGAGGCGCTGCTGCCGGCCCCACCGCCGAGGGCGAAGGAGGAGATGGAGGCGCTGTCGTCACAGTTGTGGGCAAAGGCCTCGGCTGCCGCACCCCCGTCTCCACTCAGCTCCTCGAGAGGCTCCAGCGGGGGAGACGGGTCCCGGGACAAGGACAGCAACTCCGTGGAGCCGTGCAGGGAAGGGGGATGCCGGGGCCGTCTCTAGGGAAAGGGGCAGGGAAGAGGCTGGGGGCCGGGGTCCTACAGCACCCCGTCTTCCCTCAGCGCCCCCTGGCCGGCCCCTCACCTGGATCTCTTGAATCAGCTCCTCCGCCCTCAGCAGCTTCGCCTTCAGCTCCTCAATCTCCTGCTCCATGGGCAGCACGATCTCTCGCAGCTTCTCCGAGTCCTCATGGGCCTGGAGGGAGGCGGTCGGGCAGCGACAGACCCCTCCCAACTGCAGGACCCCTCGGGTCTGTGCAGAGCTCTCTCCTAATCCTCCCAAGAAGGCGCCATTCACCCCCATTTTAGAGACAAGAACACAGAGGCTCAGAGAGCTTGCAGGCCTTGCCCCAGGACACACGGTAGGTAAAGGGGCCAAGGTCACGCCTATCTTCCTGTTGCCCACTTGCTCACCACACTTCTTCTCCAGCAGCCATTTTTTCTTTTTCTTTTATCATAGAACCTCATGTTTTTAGTTGGACACATGGCCTAAATTCTAGAATACCATCTATTTCTCAGCTTCCGTGTAACTAAGCATGGTCACATGACTAAGTTCCAGCTAAAGAGATGTAAGCAGATGTGCCATGTGCAACATCCAGGATAACTCCTTAAAGGGAGAGGGCGTGCTTTTCTTTACTGCTCCTCCTCCTCTTGCTGGCTGGAATGTGGACATGATGGCTGGCACTCAAGCAGTCATTTTGGACCATGAGGCAGTAAGCTACCTATGGCAAAACAGCAACACAGAAGGAGCCTGGGTTCCTAATGACTTGTTGAGCTACCACATCAGTCCTGGAAATGTCTGCCTCTGGAATTTTAGAAAAATAAACTTCTATCTTACTTAAGCCACTGCTGATTTGGGTTTTCAAACCTCATCCTAACTGATATGACCTCCCACACTCCCATCACCACCAAATTGCTGGCCATTTCTTTTTGGTCTCTTTTCAGGTTTGGGAACCTGCTGAACTTGCACAGCCAACAGCCTCTGGACATCTTCACTTAGATGTCGCACAGCCTCCTCTACCCTAGGAGAGCCAAATCTGAACCAGCTCACGAGGCCATTTCTCCTCCCACAAGCACTTGGTCAGTGAGAATGGCCCTGCCACCCACCCAGCTGGCCAAGGCAGAAACCTGCCAGTCACCACCCTCTTCCAACTCATGCCGTTTCTACCTCTTGAATCACTCAAAAACTTGTCTCAAACAAGTTCAGTTTAACCCTCCAAATCTATGTGAACAGTTGCAACAGGCAGGGTAAGGTGGCCCAAACAACACACCTCTGAAGCCCTGGAATACATCTCTGCAGATGCCCACAGTGGCTGGACGCAGGAGCTGGGCCAGGACTGGAAGTGCCCGCCTCTAGGCCCGCTGCCCCTTCTGCTCTCCCAGGCGGCTCCAATCTAGCAGAGCCCCCTCCTTCACCACCCTGTGTAACTGCTCCCTAAGGGACACTCTGAAAGCAAGCGGCAGCCTCTGCTGGGAAGCCGTGGGTTGGAAGCCTTCCTTTCTTGGGCTACCATTTCATCTTTGTCTTTCCAACCGGCGATTTCCTCCATCTCTCTCTGAGCCTCAGTTTCCTCATGCATAAAATGAGGTAAGTATCTGCCTCCCAAGGCTGCTGTGAGGATCAAACGAGGTAACAATGTGAACTTGCTTTGAAAGATGAAGAGTTTGGGGGCCGGCCCCGTGGCGTAGCAGTTAAGTGCACGTGCTCCGCTGCTGGCAGCCCGGGTTTGGATCCCGGGTGCGCACCGTGCACCGAGGCACCACTTGCCAGGCCATGCTGTGGCGGCGTCCCATATAAAGTGGAGGAAGATGGGCACGGATGTTTGCCCAGAGCCAGTCTTCCTCAGCAAAAAGAGGAGGATTGGCAGATGTTAGCTCAGGGCTGATCTTCCTCACCAAAAAAAAAAAAGATGAAGAGTTTGGTAATATGTGCTTCCCACTATTATTAATAACAACAATAATAAAGGAGGTAATATACCACAGAGATTAAGAACTAAAACTTTAGAACCAGACTGCCTAGATTTTTAAATCCCAAATCTGCTCCTTTTTATGTGCATAACCTGGGGAGAACTGAGCCTCTCTGAGCTTCACCTTACTCATCTGTTAAATGGACATAATGGGGGGAGAAGGGGAAAGATTGGGGAAACTGAGTCTGTCAGGCAGTGAGCACAGAGCCTAGTGCATGAAGGTATCCTTTTTTTTTTGTGAGGAAGATCAGCCCTGAGCTAACATCCATGCCAATCCTCCTCTTTTTGCTGAGGAAGACTGGCCCTGAGCTAACGTCTATTGCCAATCTTCTTCCTTTTTTTTTTTTTTTTCCCCAAAGCCCCAGTAGACAGTTGTATGTTATAGTTGCACATCCTTCTAGTTGCTGCATGTGGGACGCGGCCTCAGCATGGCCGGACAAACAGTGCGTCAGTGCACGCCTGGGATCCGAGCCCGGGCCGCTAGTAGCGGAGCGTGCGCACTTAACCACTAAGCCACAGGGCTGGCCCCCAATGAGAGGTATTCTTAAGTGTTAGCTCCTTTCCTCCTACACAACTTTCCCTAATTGTGGAGGTAAACGAACCTGGCCATCCCACTAGGAAGTGGCAAGCCATGACCCTGCCGAGCATGGAGCTGTACCTAGAATTATTACTGGGTGCCCTGCTCCCAATGACCTGGGAAGGGACACCAACAACCCCTCTGCTCTACGGTCACCTTTAGCTGCCTCAACATCTTTCCAAATCCCAGGGGGAGGGGTAGGCCATCCTAACGCCAACCTTTTCCATCTGCTTCTCCAAGGAGTCCAGGGGGTGAGCCCGGGACAGCAGCTGCTTCAGGCGGCCCAGCTCCCGCTCCTTCTCCTCGCAGTCCTGCTGCTGCTGCTGCCGCTCCTGCTTCAGGGTAGCGATCTGGGCTTCATAGCTGCTGATGGAGTCTGGCGGGGCGGGAAGAGCAGAGGAGAGAGGGGTCAGTGCACTGGCCCTAGCTGTGGGCGAGCAGAGGACTCTCCATCCCCGACGCTCTCCACTAGGCAATTGACCATGGCGGTTAGGACAGTGGGCTTTGTGGAGAGATGGCCCTGGGCAATCAGTTAGCCTCTCTGCATCAGTGTCCTCAGCCGCAAAATGGGGACACTTATGATTACCCCATGGGGCTGTTATAGGATCAAAGGAGATGACATCTGGAAGGTATTCAGCCTTCTTCCTGATACATAATAAATGCTGAAGATATGGTATCTACTCCAGTTAATATGTACCAATAACAATCAATATCTAATAATAGTCATAAATATTTACTCTGGACTAGACCTTGAGCTGGGCTCTGGGAATAGAGAAATTAATCAAACACAAACCCCGACCCCAGGAGCCCATGGTCCAACAGGGAAGGGAGTCGTGGAAATAGTTAGGAAGCAGTGTGAGAAGAGCTGCAAGAGGACCGTTCCTGGGCTTCTAGATCCCACAGGAAGGAGGCCCCCACTCGGCCTGCCTGGCCAGGACAGGACACGAGCAGGTGGAGAAGCAGGGAAAGAACCAGCACGAGCAAAGGCTCGGGGGCAGGAAAGTGGATGGTGTGTCTGAGACACGGTGGGCATGCTGAAAATTGCTGGAACGAGGTGCATGAGGAGAGATGCTGGAAAGGGTGGAGAGGGTGGCAGTGGATGGCTCCCAAGGCCTTGAATGTCACGCCAAGGAGTTTGGAATTTATCCTATAGGTCAGTGGGAGGTGGAGGTGATGTTGGGTGGAACACGGTCATTTTTTATTTGCACAGTTATTTATTTTAACGTGTATTACATTAGTAGTAAAGGTTCTGCTGCCTGAATTCAAATCTTCTGTTGCTTTCTTGCTGTGTGACCTCGGGCAAGCTATCTAACCTCTCTGAGCCTTAGAGCTTCTTTTGTAAAATGGAGAGGGACAATAGTTTCTCCCTCCTAGAGACTGTTATGAAGATTAAATACTCATAAATCATTTAGCTCAGTGCCTGGCATATAGTAAGTGCTCAATAAATGTTAGTTATTATCATTTAGGACACACTTAGTTTCTCTTATAGGGACAGGAAGTTTCCTTTAAATAAAGGTATGTTGGGCCAGCCCCGTGGCTTAGCGGTTAAGTGCATGCGCTCTGCTACTGGCAGCCCGGGTTAAGATCCCGGGCGCGCACCGACGCACCACTTGTCCAGCCATGCTGAGGCTGCATCCCACATACAGCAACTAGAAGGATGTGCAACTACAACATACAACTATCTAGTGGGGCTTTGGGGGAAAAAAAAAAAAAAGGAGGAGGATTGGCAATAGATGTTAGCTCAGAGCCGGTCTTCCTCAGCAAAAACAGGAGGATTAGCATGGATGTTAGCTCAGGGCTGATCTTCCTCAAAAAAATAAATAAATAAATAAAGGTAAGTAAGTTTTTAAAAAGTGGATCTATTTAAAGAACAAATACGTAGTAGATAACGGTAAGTTGTCTGAGGAGAAAACCACACTGCACAAGTGGCAGGCAGATGCCTGCAATGTGAGAAGTCTGGAGCCAGAAGCGGCGGTTAGAAAGGGAAATGACATGGCGGGACAGGATTTTAGGAAGTTTACTCTGGAAGGCCAGACTACAGAGAGAGACCTGTGAGAATGCTGGGGCAACGGTCCCAGGGAGTTGATGAGAGCCGCACTACAGCAGTGGCAGTGGCAGCAGAGGAGTGGGACAGGACTGGAAGCTCTTTTGGAGACTCTGCCCTCCGACTAGAGAAGGGGGAAATCTGAGAAGCAGCTGGGGGATCTGCAGCAAGCGGAGCTGGTGCATCCCGGAACAGAGGACGGGAAGGGAGCAAGGGAAGTCGGTGCCTGGGGGAGCAGCGTGAGGATTAGGGGTGTGGGCAGGGTTGTGGATTAGGGGTGCCTGGGGAAGGAAGGAAACCAGAGAATTAGACCGGTTCAGAGAACTGAGAAGTTGCTCATCTTCAGGGTTGATCAGTCATCAGTGAGGGACAAAAAATGACACGGGGCAAGGGATCAGGGAGAAGCTCCGAGCTAAAGTTAGCTAGAACTGACAGAGGTGTTGCTAGCACAGGCAGCGCTTCTATGCAAATTAGAAAAGGGCGCCCCTTCCTCTGGGCACACAGGCCCGCCCTGTGCTAGGCAGCCCTGCTAACGTACCCCATAGCTTATCTGTGCCCCTGACCCCTTGCTTGTCATGCACTCCCCCTTATGGGGCTAATGGGGGGTCTGGCAGGAGTCCCCACCTCACCTTTCAGGATGGCCTGCAGCGAGGCCACCTCTTCTTGGCATTGCCGCTGCACTGCGGCCACAGCTTCGGCCTTCGTGCTCTCGCTCACCTCCGCCACAGCCTTCATGGTCTCCATTTCTGCCAGGGCGCCTGCCAGCTCAGCGCGAAGCCGGCCGACCTCCCCGGACTCGGCCTCAACCTTTGCCCCATCTTGGGGTTTGGGGTCCAAGCCTGTGAGAGACAGGGAGCAGCCTCTCTTCCCATCACTCCCGGATCCCCAATACCCCAGGCCACCAAATCCGCAGGTCCTACAACCTAGTACGGCAGCCACGGTCCCGACTACGCCAACCTTCAGCGAGCCCCGCCCCACTCACCTGGCCCCGCCCCTTCCCGCCTCCTTCTCACCTAGCTCTGCCTTGTGTTGCCTATAGTCCCACCTCTTTCCGGCCCCTTGGCTCACCCAATCCCCTCCTTTCTCTGACACGACCCCTCCCTTCCAGTGGCCCCGCCCCCTGCCCACCTGGTCCCGCCGCTTCCCTCGCTGGGTCCCACCTCTCACCTGCCACTGGCCCTACCCCTCGAATCTCCGGGCCACGCCCCCTCCACCAGTGGCTCCAGGCCCCGCCCCCTCTTCCCGGCGGCATGGCCCCGCCCCTTTCTCCAGACTCCCCTCACCCCCCACCAGCCCCCGGCTGCCGAGCTCGGCCCCGCCTCCGGCTTCACCGCCCCTAGCGTGCATGGACGCACCCTCACGTACCGGCCCCCAGCCGCCGTCGCCGGCCATCCTCGCCTGCGGCCGCCGGCGCAGCTGCCGCCATCGCCTCTGTGCAAACGGCGGGTTCCCGCACTCCCTGGTGACGGCGCTCACCGCTTCCGGGTCCTCTCGGCTGTTTCCGGATCCGCTCGGCTATTTCCGGACCGGCCCCGGGCTCCAGGCTGAGGCCGGAGTTGGGGGGGATTGCCGAGCTTCAGCCGAAGATTTCCGAGTGGACACCCGGCCGCGGCTCCAGGCCCCGCCCCCCTCCGCCTTCTTCCCTGGCAGCGCGGTTTAAGAAGGTTGTCCGTCCTTCAAACCCCGAAGAAATCCTTTCACCAAAGGCCTTCTGGTGTCTCCGCGTGACCTCGGAAGCTCTGCTCAAATTACACCTCCTCCGGGACCCTGTCGGCCTCAGCCTAAGGAGGGCGAAGCTCTCGCGTTCTCTCCGGAGCCCTGGAGCCAGCCCCTGGGTCGGCGCCTGGCCTCCCTTCCGCCGGAGCCTGGCTCACGTTACAGCGAATTGTGGCCTGGCCTCCCTGCACCTCCGCCCTCGTGGAGCGTCCCTCCGGGCAGGGCTGGGTCGGCGTCACTTTTCTGGGTCCCCGCGTAGTTAGTCGTAGAAATCAGAAACTTCCAGGTCCCCACTCCCACTTTGATATTCCACCAGTTACCGCTTCCTGCTAATCCCTCCTCCCCCTCCCAGTGCCTCTCAAACCCCTCCTCTCCCACCTCGGCCACTGCCCTAGGTCAAGCTCTCATTATCTGTGGCCTCTCCCTCCAAGAGCCGACCTGACATCTCCCCTTGGCCGGTGACAGGCAACTCAAACTTCAGTCCAGAGCCTTGATTCCCCTTCTCCCAAACCTGTTTCTCTCTCTGTAAAGTACACTTCAGGAGCCTGGAAGTCCTTGAGTCTTCGTGTCCTCTCGCAAGTCCTGTAAGCTCTACCTCCAAAGGACTGAATATTCCAGAATGTGTCCCTTTTTCTTCTTCTCCAGCGCTAACACCCAGCCCCAGTCTCCATCTTTTCTCTCCTGAACTTCCACAATGCCTCCTAACTGTTCCCCCTGTGTCGCCTTTTGGCCTCTTTAGTTAATTCTCAAAGCAACTAGAACGATCTTCGTAAAACATAGATCGTGTCTTATAGCTGCTTAAAATCTAGTTCAGTCCAATTTGAAAATGGGCAAAGGACACAACTAGACATTTCACTGATGTCACAGATGGCAAATATGCGCATGAAAAGATGTTCAACATCATTAGCCATTAGGGAAATGCAAATTAAAGCCATAAGGAGATATCACTACACACATATCAGGATGGCTAAAATAAAAAACAAGTGATAATACCAAATGCTGGTGAGTATATGGAGAAATGGGGTTTCTCATATATTCCTGATGGAAATGTAAAATGGGATAGCCACTCTGGAAGAGAGTATGACAGTTTCTAACAACACTAAACATGCATTACTTGAACATACCAAGCTTTTCCCCACCTGAGGTCTTGGCTCAGAAGTCACCTCCTCAGCATGGCCTTCCCTGACTGCCCTGTCTAAAGTAGCCACCTTATTACCTGTCCACCATTAGATCACAGCAGAGACTTCTCACCATCTGAAGTTGTTTATCGGTTAACTTGTTTATTACCTGTCCCCCTTAACCCTTCTGTGGCCCCAAAACTTGAATCAAAGCTCCATGAGATTAGGAACCTTGTCTTTCTTGTCTCCTGCTGTTTCCCCAGCTCCTAGCACCGTGACTGATAAATAAACGTAGTAAATAAACATTTGGTGAACAAATGAATGAATGAACACTTTCCTTACTGATCTCTGTGGTCTCCTGCCAATGGCCTGTCCACACTGCGGCCAGTGGGAGTTTTAGAAAATGCAAATCTGGCCAGGTCAACTCCTGGTTTGTAAATCCCCAGTAGCTTACTGCCCTCAGTAGCTTCCTGTCCTCAGACTCTCTGTGTACATGGCAGGGTTTCTTGGGAAGGGATGACTGTAGATAAGGCTCCAGTCAACTATCAGGCTTGGATTTTATCCTGAGGCCCTGGGAGCCACTGAAGGCTGTTGAGCAGGGGAAGCACATGACTAATACTGAGGAAGCTCTCTGTGTGCCATGTAGGTGGAAAGCAAAGAGATAGAAGACAGAGAGCCCACAAAAGAAGCGGTTGAAATGGTTCTGATTGGGAAGCGAAGAGTCCAAAAAGAGGAGAAAGTTGATTCTGGAAATATTTAGGATAGAAAGTGGACTAGCCTTGGTGACTGATGGCATGGAGGGAAGAAAAAAGAAAATTTTCTTTCACTCTTCCTAACTTCCTTCTTTTATACAACAAATAGTTATTAAGCACCTGCAGGATGCCACTGAACAAGACAGTAAAGATCCCTGTTGTCGCAGAGGGAACATTCTGGAACAGGAGGCAGGTGAGAAGACTAACAAATAAACAAGCATGCTTTGGGGTTGGACAAATGCTGGGAAGGAAATAAAATGGGTGTGAGATCAAAAGTACCCGGGGGGTCAGGGAAGGCCTCTCTGAGGAAGTAACATCTGAACTGAGACCTGAGTGAAGAAAATAAGCCAGTGGAGCAGAGAGCTGGGAAATGTAGATAGGGGAGGCCTCACTCAGGCCTTTGGAGGCCATGGTTTGGAGTGTTTTTTAAGTGGATGAAAAGCCACGGAAATGTTCTAAGCAGGGGACCGATATGCTCCAGCAAGAAGACTGCACGTGAGGCAGCTGGGAAGCTAATGAAGGGGTTAGAGAGATTTTTGTGGAATGCAAGGCAAATGGGGTCCTGCCACCTCACCCTCTCCATTCCCCAATGCCCTTCTCTTCCCCCCTTCCAGCCACCCCAACGCCATCAAAGGGAAGTAAGGGCCCTGCCAGCTGGGGGGTCCCCTGGGGTTTGCCTGAAGCAAACAGGAAGCCACAGCCCAGTGAGCCGGGCCTGGGAACCGGCAACTGAGAAAGTAGGTCTTCGGCGTCCCTGGACCCTTTTCCTGAGTGACTGCAGCGGTGAGAGACACAGAGATACACATGCACATACAGAGAGAGAGGCCGGGAGAGAGAGACGGGGGGAGGAGGGGAACAGATTTAAGAGTCCAGACTCCTGGGGTCTAGTGCTCACTGTACCCCCAGCTTACTGTGTGATCTCGGGCAACCCCATGCCCTTTTGGAGGCCTCAATTTCCCCATTTCCAAATGGGTTCCTTCCATAAGTGAAGCAGGGCTTTCTGGGGAAGAACTGGAGAGAATGGGGCATTCATCATCAGTCATTTCTCAGGGCCGCTGCAAAGGAGCTACTGTGGCAGTCTGGCTGGAGCTCTTGGCCGTTAATTGATGCTGTCTCTCATTAAGGGAGGGCCTACTATGTGCTGGGGGCAGGGCTAAAAATGCCGTATGTATATTGTCCTGTGTGATCCTCACAAACAATATTTGATAGTACTATTATTATCCCCACTTTACAGAGTGAGAAACTAAGGCTTAGAGAGATGAAGAAATTTAGCCAAGAGGTGGAGGCAGAAAATTCAAAGACAGGTCTGCCACATCCCAAAGTATGTGAGGGGCTGGTTGTATGGAGGTGGGAGGGGGCCCAAGAATGTTGGTTGAGTGAATGAATGGCGTGTGTGTGTGTGTGTGTGAGGAGAAGTGGATTTAGAGCCTGGGGTTGAAGGAGAGAGGAGGAGGAGAAGGCGGGAGCCCCTAAGACTGGATCCACTCATTCAGCAAATATTTATTGGGCGCCTACGATGTGCCAAGCACTGTTCCAGGGCGCCGTGCATACATACAGTGGTGAACAAGTTGAAGTCTTTGCAGCAAGGGGCTCACATTCTAGTTGGGGGAACAGAAAGTGACCAAGTAGACACACAAATAAGATCACTTCACGTGGTGGCAAGCGCTGGGATGAAAATAAACCAGTGTAGCAGGGAGGAGATGAGTTTTGTGGGTCTGGAGGGGTGCATGGAGAAGGGGGCCTGAGGCATGACCACCCCTTCCTCCCCGGGGGGACTGCCTGCCCGCCCCCGCAGACACCCATGGTTCAGTGCCCACCAGGCCCCAGCCTGCCCCAGCATCCCCCGCGGCGAAGCTGGGTGCCGCGGGGAGTCTGGCCACCATGCCACCTCCTCTCCTCCTCTTCTTCCTCCTCTTCCTTACTCCCGTGGGAGGCAAGGCCCAGGAACCACAGCTGGTGGAGGCTAAAGGTATGTCCAAAGGGCAGAGATGGAAGGAGTCGGGGCTGGAAACCTAGGTTCCGCCTGGATGCCCTTGGCCAAGTAACTTACCCTCGCTGAGCCTCCATTTTCTTGTTTGTAAAATTCAGGGAGGCTTTGGAAGAACTCTGAGGGCTCATCTGCTCCCAGCTGCTGGGGTCGTTGGGTTTATAACCCAGTGTGAGGAGGGAAGAGGGCTAGGGGCTCCTCTCACTCTCCCCGCCCCTCTCTCCACAGAGGGAGACAACGCTGTGCTGCCGTGCTTCAATTCCCCAGAGGGTCACTCGCAGAAGCTGGCCTGGTTTCGGGAGACGGCAGCTTTCTTAGCGCTGAGCCCAAAGTTACGAGACCTGAGCATTCAGAAACAGCCCCTGGGCATCATGCTGCTCATCTTGAACGTCACTAAGCAGATGGGGGGCTTCTACCTGTGCCAGCCAGGGCCCCCTTCTGCGCAGGCCTGGCAGCCTGGCTGGACAGTCAGCGTGGAGGGCAGTGGTGAGGTCCGGGCTGGGGCAGGGAGGGTTAGATGAGAAGAGGGAGGCCCACCATGGATGGAGGAGTTCCAGCAGCTAAAATGGATCTAGAGGGAGGGGCTGGAGGGTCTGAGGGACAAGCAGAGAGCCAGTTTTAGGTGGCTCCTAAAAACGGCGGCTTTGTGACTTCAACACTGAGATGCTCCGTATCTCTCTGTCTTTCACTCTCTTCTCTCTCTGAGTTCCCGTTTCTCTGTCTCTCTCTGGGTCTTCGTCTCCATTTGTCTCTGCCTTTCTGGGTGCCTGTATCTCTTTTTCTCTCTTGGATGTCTCCGTATCTGGTTCTGGGTCTCTTCCCAGGGGAGCTGTTCCGGTGGAATGCCTCAGACCTAGATGACCTAGGCTGTGGCCTGGGCAACAGGCCCTCAGAGGGCCCCAGGTCCTTTCCTGGTCACCCCACAAGCTCCCAGCTGTATGTGTGGGACAAAGACAAACGTAAGATCTGGAAGACAGACCTTAAATGTGCCTCAAATAGGAGCAGTCTGAACCAGAGCCACACCCAAGGTAAGGTACTGAGGAGATGCCAGGAAGTGCGGGATCTAAGGGTGTGGGTGGTGATTAGGAACTGGAGGGTTTGTGGGGGAGGAGACCCCAAGGACTACTCTTTCCTAGCTTTAGCTCTCCCTGCCCCAGACCTCATCGTGGCCCCTGGCTCCACACTCTGGCTGCCCTGTGGGGTGCCGCCCGACTCCCTGGTTAGAGGCCCCGTCTCCTGGACCCACGTGCATCCCGAGAAGAAACCCTCATTGCTGAGCCTAAACATGACGGAGGATGCCCCAGTCAGAGAGATGTGGGTCCTGGGCACCCTCAGAGGAGGGGCTGTTCTGTTGCTGCCCCAGGCCACAGCTCAAGATGCAGGCACCTATTATTGTTACCTTGGCAACATGACCCTGGAGATAGAGCTGAAGGTCACTGCTCGGTCAGGTAGAGTTTCTCCCAATTGTGGGGTATCTGTGTGGGGCTACTGAGAAGAACTAGAAGCCAGTCAACCTTGGCCCCCCAACCTGAGGGCTAGTACCAGCCCCATCCTGAACCCCAACCTCTACACTGAATGCTGACTCCACCTCCTTCCTCCCTTGCTTCCCAGACACCACTTTTCTGGTCTTCTACTACCACTGGTTGCTCCTTCCCATCAGTTTTGGTAGAGTCTTCCTCCCCGACTCCTCACTGTTGGAGCCCTGAGCCCTCTTCTTGCCCCTGTCTACATTCTCTCATGCTTGTCTACACACTCTTCCTGTTTGACCTCCTTTACTCCCATGGCTCCTTAGGCCACCATGCTTTGGTGACTCGATTCTAGGCTCCATACCCCCCACACCCAGCCATCTCCTGGAATTGCCATTTGATGTCCCATGGATGCCAGACTCAACACATACAAAATCAAACTCAACATCTTCCCCAGGCATAGTCTTCTGGGTGGCCCTGTGTAAGCGAAAGACACTACCACCTGCCCATATGCCCAAGCCAGGAACCTGGGCATCTTTCCTTTTCTTCACCCATCCATCTGATTGGTCACAATGTTCTGCCCATTCTGTCTCCCTTAATACAATCCTACCATGCTACCCTAACCACAGTTCTCAAACTCTGCGTCAACTTTCACTCCAAACTTGACCTCAGCACATTGCTGCATCCCACCTCTAACCTTGTGGACTCGACTCTGCCTTTCACTTTGACCCTGGCTGTCCTTAACTGCAGCAGGAAGCTGATCGTCCTGCTTCCTTTAATCCTAACATTGCCTCTGACTATAGTCATGGTTTGTTCATGGTTTGCTCAATAGATACTACCCCAAACCCCATGTCAGGCTCTGTGACACAGTCCCTGACCTCAGAGGGAGGGAGAAGAGCCCTCCTTGTAGCTTGGGACTTTGAGGATCTGTGTCTTGCCCCTGTCCCCCAGACTTATGGCCCTTTGAGGTCTTGAAGCTGGGAAGCAAGATGCCAGCCTGAGGTCCTCGTCTCATAGCTCCTTCCCCCTAGCTGTATGGCACTGGCTGATGGAGACTGGTGGCTGGAAAGTCCCTGTTGCGACTTTAGTTTATCTGATCTTCTGCCTGGGTTCCCTAGTGGTCTTTCTTCATCTTCGAAGAGGTGAGTCATGTCCCCCAGCCGGTCTGCCCAATCTTCCTCAGGAAAGCCCATGTGGGCCAGCCTGACAGCCATCTTTCTCTCCTCCCCTACCTCCCCCACAGACCTCAGAATCCTGCCCACAGCTCCTCCTCTAAACCCCTTCGAAACTTCCCAGACCCCTTGGAATTTGAACTCCCATCTCCTCCATTGACCCAAGTGACCTCCTCAGCACCCCCTAAATCTTCACCTTGCCAAGCAGCCCCTCCTCTGATCACTCCCCTTAACTCCCACCAGCCCTGATCCTGAGGAGGAAAAGAAAGCGAATGACTGATCCCACCAGAAGGTAATGATGCTGTGTGCGCCCCCAGTCTCCCACTCCCGCACTTGCACTTTCTGCTTCTGTTTCCTCTCCTCAGGGTGTCTTTTCTCCATCTCTACGGTTACTGTCCACTCTTCGAAGCCCAGCTGCAAAGCTACCCCCTCTGTAAAGACCTCCTTGGAGTGATCCCAGACCCCTCTGTAGGCTGTCCCAGCACAGAGGAGCTAATTACAAGCGACCACATTTTAACCTCCGGGGGCCTGGCCTGAATCTTGAATGTGTCTCTCATTCCCCTTCAGGCCTGGCCTCACAGGGCAACTCCCCTTCCTCCACCAGGTTCTTCAAAGTGACGCCTCCCGCGGGTACCGGCGCCCAGAATCAGTATGGGAACGTGCTCTCCGTTTCCACGCCCACCTCTGGCACGGGTAGGAGGACCGTCCGGTCTCTGACCCAGAGCTAGAGGCCCACCCACTTTCCTCATCTCTCAATCCCTGAGCTCCAAGCTCGGAGCTCCGCCTTCAGAAAAGAGCCCGCCCCGGGGTGCAGAGTCCGCCCAAGTTTGAGCCCCGCCCCCCGAGCCAAGTCCCACCCCCAGAACTCATAGCCCCGCCCCAGGAGTAGGGACCTGAAGTCCTGTTCCGAGAGTGGAACCACCCCGAGACTTGAGGCCACGCCCCCTAGAGTTAGATCCCGCCCCCGTGGGTCACGGCCCCGCCTCGCAGACCCTTAGCCCCGACCGCCCCCGTCTCTACTCACCTTCTTCCCTACAACGCTTCTCTCGCCAGGACGTGCCCTGCGGTGGGCTGCAGGCCTGGGGGCCGCCGACCCGTCCTCTGGAAACTCACGCAGCCACGTCCAGGAGGCCAGAGCCACCGGGTCCTGGAGCCCGCCGGGAGCGGGTGATTGGCAGTGGGGGGTCGTTACTCACGTGGGGGGTGTTGGAGCGGTCTGTGGCAGGAATAGTGGACTGGGACCTGGAGGAGGGGGCCCGTGACTCGGTTCCCACCCCCATCCCCAAACCCCAGGCCCAGAAGAAGAGGAAGGGGAGGCCTATGAGGAGCCGGACAGTGAGGAGGGCTCCGAGTTCTACGAGAACGACTCCAACCTTGGGCAGGACCAACTCTCCCAGGGTAAGACTGCCCTCCCCCAGGACTCCCCTAACTTCTCAGCGGGGGGCTGTGGGCCCTCGCTGGACCCTCCCTCCTTCTCCACCAGACGGCAGCGGCTATGAGAACCCTGAGGACGGGGCCTTGGGTCCTGAGGATGAAGACTCCTTCTCCAACGGTAATTTGGGATCCTTGAGGGGCCTCAGCGACTTGGGAGGATCCACAGGTCTGTGGAGCCCCTACAGGGCAGGAGTGGTCCCTGGAGTTCTCTTTTTTCTGCAGCAGCTGAGTCTTATGAAAATGAGGATGAAGAGGTGGCCCAGCCAGTCACCAGGACAACAGGTGTGTGTGAGGATGGTCACGTTCCTGCTAGGGGTGATGGTGTGTGTGACCAGGAGGCCAGGGGGAATAGTGACTTTATTCTTCCTTTTCCAGACTTCCTGAGCCCCCATGGGTCAGCCTGGGACCCCAGCAAGGAGGCAACCTCCCTTGGTGAGAAATGCTTGGGACCTGCCTGCCTTGCCCAGATTGGGTTGACCTGGCCTCAGCTCTGACCAGGCCCAACCTTGACCTTGACTCTGACCCCTAACCCAAACCCAATCCTGACCTTAGATTTGACTCCTAACTCTAACCTCAACACCGACCCCAACCCCAGTCTTGACCCCCCCGTTTACTCCATCCCTAACCATGAACATTCCAGCCTGCACTTGGACCTCCATCTCATCCCAGCCCCAATGCAGACTTCAGCTTTGACCCTAGCTCTCTCTACAACGTCCTCATGACTCTGACTTTGACTCCTTCCAATTCTGTTCTTGACCCTTTCTCTGACCGTGACCATAATATAACACATACCTGATCGAACCCTACAACTAAAAGGGCCCTGAACCTGATGCTGACCCTAATCACTTCTTCCTAGTACAACATGGGTCAAGCCTTCCAGCTTCCTCTGCCCCTCAGACTCCCTCCATATCTTAGGCAGCACTTCCCTTCCCCAAGTCCCCAGTGTAGCTCCCAGGCCTCCAACTCTCCGTCCCCTGTCCAAGCAGGGTCCCAGTCCTATGAGGATATGAGAGGGATCCTGTATGCAGCCCCCCAGCTCCGCTCCTTTCGGGCCCAGCCTGCCCCCAATCATGAGGAAGGTGGGTGCTTCTACTGCTGTCCCCTCTTGTCCTCTGAGGCTGACCCCCTCCCAGCCTCTTCCAGCTCTATCTGTATCTTACTCCTTACTGGTCCTAACCAGATGCAGACTCTTATGAGAACATGGATAATCCTGACGGGCCAGAACCAGCATGGGGTGGAGGGGGCCACGTGGGGACCTGGAGCACCAGGTGATTCCCTTCAGGTGAGCTGGGAACTGCCCTCTAAGGAAGGGGGAGAAGGAAGGAGATGAGCAGGGATGGAAGTGGGGTGCTGGCTCTCAGGGCGGCAGAAGGGAAAGAGTTCCCACAGCCTAGCTCCTGGACCCCTCCCCATCACAGTTTCTTCTACATAGCCTGGGCCTCCTCAGGCCCCTGAGATCCATACCTGACTCTGAAATCTGGGACCCCAAGCAGATGGTGTCAACCTCTGGAACGATGTTGCTGAGGATGTGTGTACCTGTGTGTGTGTACACAAGCGAAACTTTGGCCCCCTTTGTGCTCCCCGAATAAACTTAATGAGTTCTTCCAATCCTGTGAGGTAGTGCCCTTGTGTGGGAGGGGAAGGGAAGATGAGGATGGGTGTACTCCCATCCCCTCTCGAATCCCGCAGAGGAGGGAGAGCTACATTCCAGTTACAACAGGGCCTTTTCCCTCCTGTGGCTAGGCCTGCACTCATTTCCCTCATTTGCCTGCCATTCCCACCCTCCAGTTATTCAATCATTGTTCATCCAGCGGTTGTGTGCTGGGTGCCCAGTGGAGAGGAAACAATCCAGGAGTCATCCTGGACATAATCCTTACACTAACCTCATAAAGTTATTGAGCACTTATGTGCCAGGATTGTGTCAAAGTATTTTATATTTACGTGTATTAGCATATTTTATCTTCGCAGACAACCCTATTTCATAGATGAGGAGACTAAGGCAGAGAAGCTAAATAACTTGCCCAGGCTTATCTAGTTAATAAGTGCTGGGGTCAGGACTTAAACTCTGGCAGTCTAATTCCAGAGCCTATATTCATCTTGACACTCCCCTCCTAGGTGCGATTTTGTAGATGGGAAACCTGGTGTCAGAGAGGCCAAGTAACATGTGGAAGGTCACACAACTAACACTTCACAGAGCTGCATGTGAATCCAGAAATCTGGCTGCAGTTCTAGCCACTGTGCCTACTACCTGATAAACTGCCTACTTCTGATATAAACCATGAACACGAAGACTCTCAGAGCTAAAGTCTCCAGGCCCTGCACCATGCTGTAGCAAGCTCCACCACACCCAAATTCTTGTCTCCGGCAAAGGTGGAATCACTCACTGATGTTCCCGATGTCTTCTGCCTGGTCTCCGTGCCACCAGTCTCCCCAGCCCTGGTGGTCCTCTGAGACCTAAGACTGGCATCTGAAACCCAGAGAAGTTTCAATGCTTTTTGTATGACTGACTAGACTTTTTCAGTATCTACATTTTTCTTTCTGGAGTTCCTTTTTTTTAATGCACCAGTTCTTTCTTCATAATGTCCTGTTTTTGTTTCAGAGACTCTCTTCCTTCTTTATCGCTCAACCTTTGTAATTTGCTGTATCTGTATAAACAAACAAACTAAACTGAAAAAAAAGAAAAGAAAACATTATTATTACACGCCTGGCATTGTTCTGAGTGCTTTACAGGTAGCATCTCGTTTGATCTTTACAACAATCCTGTGGCCGGCCCAGTGGCATAGCTGTTAAATGCATGCGCTCCTCTGCTGTGGCCTGGAGTTTGGATCCCGGGTGCGCACCAATGCACCACTTGTCAAGCCATGCTGTGGCAGCGTCCCATATAAAGTAGAGGAAGATGGGCATGGATGTTAGCCCAGGGCCAATCTTCCTCAGCAAAAAGAGGAGGATTGGCATCGATGTTAGCTCAGGGCTGATCTTCCTCACAAAAAATAAATAAATAAAATAAAAATAAAAATCCCAGATCTAGCTCAGCGTTTACACCCCCACCTTACCCTTCAGCTAAAATAAGCTCTCCATATTCCTATAATCCCAGCCATTCTCCATTATCTTTCATCCAGCCTGTTTCATTCATTTAGGTTTCCTGCCTGTGCCTGAAGCATTTGAGCATGTGACTCCTGCTGAAAACATCCTGCCTTCTTGAGGGTGAATCCATGTCGGGGTCTTCTCTATGCCCCTGGGACCCAGCCAGGGGATGGCAAAGATCAGGAGCTCAGGAAGTGAGTGGGGAAGGAGGAGGGAATGAAGGACTGGAGAAAGTCCTGAGATTCAGGGTGCAGAGGATGGAGCCACTCCTGTGGGCTCTGCCACCCGGGGAAGCCTCGGGGGAAGTGGAGGAACAGAGGTGTGCTAACTCCAGCCCCGTGCTCCGGAATCAGACTCTCTGGGTTTGAATCCCAGCTCCGCTCCTTAATAACTGTGTGACTCGAGCGGTCTGTGCTGTAGCTTCCTGGTCTGCAAAATAGGGATAATAACTCTAGCTACCATAATAAGTCCTAACTGAGATGTAAAGCACATGACAGCAGCATTGTGGGCACTCAAACATTAGCCATTATTTATTTATTTATTTTTGCGAGGAGATCAGCCCTGTGCTAACAACTGCCAATCTTTCTCTTTTTTTGCTGAGGAAGACTGGCCCTGGGCTAACATCCGTGCCCATCTTCCTCCACTTTATATGGGACGCCGCCACAGCGTGGCTTGCCAAGCATTGCGTCAGTGCGCACCCTGGATCCAAACCGGCGAACCCTAGGCCGCCGCAGTGGAGCGCGCGCACTTAACCACTTGCGCCACCGGGCCAGCCCCAGCCATTATTATTATTTGGCATTTATCAAGGGCCTACCGTGTGCCGGGAGCCAGAGGCACCAAGACCCATTTGGATTGTGCAGAGAGACCTGCCCAGGAGGAAGCCACATCCAAAGCTCCTCAGCTTCCCACCCCATGACCAGGTGTTTTGGCAGGGACTGGACTTATAGCTCTTGAGCAAGGTTTAGGGAGAAGGAGGCTTGAGGGATGTTTCAGGCCCTCAGGCCCACCCCCTGCTTCCCTCGTTTGCAGTGGCCTCCCAGGTGGGGCCTAAGGCTGGCAGAAGGGCTTTTGGCGCAACCTCTATGCTTCCACCCTGGCTACAAAGAGTGGCTGAAGGTTTCCTGGGGCTGGAAGGTCCTTGGAGTTCCCTCTGTCAGAGCCTAGGAGCCTTTGTTCCCTGGGAAACAGCCTCACCTGCTGGGGTTGTGCACCTTCAGTCTTGGCCTGGGCTGAGTCTGCGTGGGGGATCTGAGGTGTGAGCTGACTGATTCGGGGTGTATGTGTTACCAAACCAGGTTCATTGCCTGCCGCACAATCATGCCAATCACCAAGACGACGAGTTTGCAAAGAGAAAGGATTTACTCACAAGGCAGCCAAGCGAGGAGGCGGGATAATCAATTTCAGATCCACCCCTCCGAAAATGGAGACTCAGGGATATTTATGGGGTAGGGAACAAGGTGGTCTGAAGCGTGGAAATAGATGATTGGAGGTAAGGAGAAATGAGGTAATTGATGATCTGTGCAAGCATAATCAAGCTTCATGCCTCTTCATAGGATGCATGTTCACAAAATGGCGGCATTACCATAACCTAAGGGTGGCGTTTTTAGCTCCTTGGCGTCAAAAAGGTCACTTCTTGAGCATTTGTGCAGGTCCAGTTGATGGTTGGCTCAACCAGCCTGAACTGGACAAGAGGTCTGAGTTCCTGAAAAACCACTCTTAATTACTCTGTTGATAAGATGGGGTCAGTTGAACTGGTCCTGGAGGGCCCTCAGTTACATATGTGTGGGGGATATCAGTGTGGCAGAGGAGGGGGATGGGATGGGATGTGGGTGATGGCCAAGATGCTGTACTGGATGGATGTGTGAAGTCCGAGTTATGTGAACATTATGTGTGTGAGAGGCAGGTGGTAGGGGTGTATGCTGTGTGGGTATCGTGTGTGCAGTGTGGTGTGGGCTGTATGGTGTGAGGTGTCAGGGGTCATGCAGTTGGACGTGATATGAGAGGTATGAAGTCTTGAAGGGGTGTGTCTGCTGTTGGGGTGCATGTCATGCAGGAATTGTGAGTAAGGTAGATGTGTGGAGGAAATGTAGCTTCTGAGGTGCGTGATATTGTTGGTGGGTGTGCTGGGGAAATATAACAAACAAAGAAAATCTCCCAACTCAGAAAACCTCTCCACGGAGGTAAAAGAGACAGAAAACAGTTTTTTTATTGAATAAGCATGAAACCAGAATGTGATGTGTGTCACAGGCAATCTGCCAAGAGACTGCAAAGGCAGAAGGAACTCTCACCCTTATTATATGGCCAAGCAGGTACAGCCCATTATTCTGTTTTCTTTTTGTGTGTGTGTGTGTGAGGAAGATCAGCCCTGAGCTAACATCTGCCAGTCCTCCTCTTTTTGCTGAGGAAGACTGGCCCTGAGCTGACATCCGTGCCCATCTTCCTCCACTTTACATGGGACGCCGCCTCAGCATGGCCTGACAAGCCGTGCGTCGGTGCGTGCCTGGGTTCCGAACCTCGGCTGCCAGCAGCAGACCGCGCGCACTTAACCCCTACGCCACGGGGCCGGCCCCTATTATCCTGTTTTCAAGATAAATTTTCAAAACCCATATCTTGTTTTCAAGATAAACAATAACTAGGCCTCAAGTAAGAGGACTTGACAACCACTTTGGTCACACATAGTTCATCCTAACTTTATCACGGTAACTGGCTTTTATCCGGGGAGAAATACACTTCTCACTTCCTTTGTGACAGGAGGTAGTTTTATATATTGCAGGAAAGCCCCCATCAAAGTTAGGCTGTTATTCTCCCCCAGAAACTGGGAGACTGGGAGCTATGTCCCTTGATGTTTGCATTTCAAAAAGATGGCTACCAGGTCCTGGAGTTCCTGGGTTATGACACTAGCAAGAGGCTTATTTAGCCATAATAAAGCTTTACATACATTTGAAAAGGACGGAGAAAGAAATTCTGAGAGAAAACGGGGAGTGGGGAGAAGTCACATCCCCTATTTTCAACATGGAGAATTAAGCCTCTTATTTTTCATTTGTATTTGCCCTTCCAGGTGTTGTTTGTGAGGCGTGTAGGTTGTGGGAGGGTGTTGCGTGAGTGTATGTTGTGTTGACACTGTGCGTGAAGTGTGTCTGTGGGGGTGCCTGGTGTGAGGGGGGTATGTATGCTGTTGGAGGTAATTCGAAGACTTGGGTGGTGTTGAAGTGTTGGTCTGGGGTGTGCACTGTGAGGATTCTGCACGTGAGGAGGAGCGTGTGCGAGGGGTTGGCGTTGAGTGGAATTACTCAGCCCACAACACGGTTGGGGGAAACAATAAAGGGGATATCCGTGAAGTGTGAGGCCTAATTCCGTGGTTTCTAAAATGCTATCCTCAATCTTCCTTCCGCCTCTCTGTAGTCAGGGCTTGAGGACTACAATTCCCAGCATGCCCCGCTCCTCCACCAACCGGGAAAACGGATCTCTTTA